ATTATTATTATTATTTATTATTATTATTATTTCTATTATTACTATGATTAGTCTAATGATTATTATTATTCTTATGATTATTATTAGAGGTATTAGTATTATTATTATTATTATTATAGTATTATTATATTATTAGGTTATTATTATATGTTATTATTATTTTATTTTATTATTATTATTATATCATTATTCTTATTATTATTATTATTATTAATTATTATTATTATTATTATATTATATTATTATTATTATTATTATTATTATTATTATTATTATTATTATTATTATTATTATATTATTATTATTATTATTATTATTATTATTATTATTATTATTATTATTATTATTATTATTATATTATTATTATTATTATTATTATTATATTATTATTATTATTATTATTATTATTATTAGTATTATTATTATTATCATTATTATTATTATTATATGTGATACCAGGCAAATTTATTTCGTAAATGCGACCACCATAAGCATTGTAATGAACATAATTCCCATAAACACGAGCATGACTTACGATTTCAAATAGACTCAACTATTATGAATTCTTAGCAGCTAAATTAACTCAAGAATTGTATTAAAAAACAAAATAAAACAGTTAAATTTGGAAAACAATAGATGAAAGTTAAAAATGCTGGGTTTGTAATGTGCAGCGAATGACTATGCTCTATCGCATAGAAAATTAAAACTTCAAAATTCAAATGATATAAATATTTTTCAGAATTAACTGTAATTGTTATACACATGATTGTTTGTTAATATATAGAGATAATCCACATACAGGCGACGTATTCTATGTTTTTTCATATTTATCTGCCTATTTTTAGACAATTTTGTATTTTGGTGAATATTTATCATTATTTTACAGTCATGGACAGGCAAAGAGGATTACTCATTTTACTTGTCATTTCAAATGGACGTGCTAGGTTACTTTCATTTAACTCAACACTATGTATTTGCTATTCTCAATTCAGCTATAGGTAGGAAGATGTTGTATCTAAATTATCTGACATGCTAAAGGATCGTTACTCAAACTATTAACACTTTGAGATGAATCTTCAATGGTGGAGTTATACTTTCATTGCAACACCACAGTACTACTTTTAAAAGTATATATATATATATATATATATATATATATATAATTATATCTTCAATTTCTTAAATCCAGCCTACAAAATACATATACGACTTATAATTAACAAACAAAAAATACAACTACATTCAGCTATACTAGCTCATACTAAATATCGTTAGCAAACTAATCTTCCAGATTTTCATCGATATCTGATGACAGTTCGGATGATTAGTCCGATAACAACATGTCGTTTTCGAAAAGTCTAATTTCATTGGCGACGATGAACTCCTCATCCTCATTCGGTATCCGCGATGTTTGACATTGCTCAGGACGATCAGCATGTGTGGTATGGTATCAGTGACTTTGATTTGGGTCGCCATCGGCCAAAACAAAAGTCCCAATGCTCTAACTATCGCTTCCGTCGTCACTGTCGTCGACTTAAAATACACTTGTAGTGTCGCATGGTCCATCGTTTGGCTGTAACGAAGAGAAAAAGATATTTATGGCAGCAGTTCAAACTAAAACTGTAGGATAAGGTTTAAAAGGAATACTACATGGAGGGTGAAATGGAATTAGACTTGGAAAGGAAGCGAGTAAAAAATTAATGTAAATACGCTTACATTGGATACCGGAAACGAAGACCATATACTTGTTGAGTCCGCCATCACATGTGTTGGTTCCTCGTCTTCTTCTCCTCCATCTTCTGATTCCATTTCTTCATCACTGGAATCGAGCTGTGTAATAACAAGAAAAGTATCCATGAATTGCAGCTTGAATAAAAAACTAAAGAAAAACATTCTTGCTTCAAATGGAAGTACGAAGTATCTTCTACCATCCGGCACTCCCACGTTTGCTGCTTGAGGCATGTCCTCCATCATGGCCTCAAGGTTGGGCAAGTCGAGCTGTAATAACAAGAAAAACATCTATAAGTTCTCATTCAAACACACAATAAAGCACGAGGCTTAAAATCAGCATAGAAAAAATATATACAAACCTCAAACGGTAATTCAAAAACCCTTCTTTCATCAGCCATTTCTATTTTTCGTGTAGGCTTGTTATCGAATGTATCACTGTATTATGCAAATAACAAAACACCCTATCGAGCTTGCCCTGCTATGCTCTAGATCATAGTGTGGTGAACTTCTGCCGCAGTCGTGGTAGGGCCAATTTGTCAGCTATCATTGTCAATGTATACAATTTGTACGTTGTGTATCTTCAACTTGACAATAGTAACGAGCACTTAGTTATACAGGGTGTCCGCAAAGTTGGGGTTGCACTTCACACGACGTGTAGATCTTGGGATAATAAGCGTATTTTCTTAGTAGCATATACTCCAATGTCTTAGGAGAACCGAGATATTGGGCTCTGCAAACTCAATCAAACCTGAACCAAACCGAAGCCGGTCCTGTCCTACCACTCGATCACGTCCACAGCGCCAGCGCCAGTGTACAGTTATAGGATGTACGACTGCGATGTAAATACGTATTTTACGACAGAGCCGTACTTGGAATTCCAATTCAACTGAACAGTGAGTACTTTTCAGTTTATTTTTTTTACTTGTTCGCTCACGTTTCACCACACATTAGCTTTGTTATATCAAGCATAGTTATGTTTAAAAAGGAAAACTCCAACTTTGCGGACACCCTGTATTTCTGATGACCTTTCAATAAGATTCCATCGTTATCTTTAATGAGAAATTTGAAAATTTCCAGGAGGCTGTCAACATTTAGCAGATATGTTTTACGATGGGCATGGTCATTGAGAGGATCAGAACTGGTATGCTATGGGGGAAACCTTAGAACCCCATCTTTTAATTTGGAAAAGTCCTTAATAATGCTTTTTTCTTTGCACGAGAAGTCGTGAAAAGTAGACATCGAGCCATTTCTATCATACGGCAAGTATTTCGAACTATCGGATTATGATAGATGGATGACAAGATTGGAGTGGGGATAGAGCGCTGCTGCGCGTTAGAGTTCGGCAAGTTTGTTGATAGGGAACTGAACTGCAATAGGGTTTTGCAATTGGCATGATCATTGAGAGGACTCAGAACTGCAATAAAACTGTGTCCTCGCATGATATCCTGCTCAGAAGGCTCAAATAATACAACTTGACCTCCACCTCATGGTTTAGTCCTGAGTTTTGTGCCGTTTCTCATTTTTATCAATGGCCCACCTTTTATAACAATGAAGGCAATTATATTTTATTTGCAGATGACATGAACGTCTCGGTAAAAAGTAGTTGTATCTCTGAGCTTTCTGAGAAGGCTGAAACTATGCAATCGAGCGCCAAACGCTGCTTTGATGCTAATAAGCTGACCAAAACAATACACAAGATTTTCACTATGAAAGAAGTAGGGAGCTTGTACATTATCATATAAAATATATAAAATTGTTAGGGGTGCAGATCAATGAAAGATTAAAATGAGATAGACACGTTGATATGACATCAAACAACTTACAAAAAATATTTTCCTACTCATAAGCTTATCTTTGTAGTTGCATGCAATGCATTAAAGTCGGTGTATTTCGCTGTATGTCATACCCATATATCTTATACCATTTTGGGATAAGGACAAAGCTCAGATTGGCACCGTCTAATCTCACTACAAAGATGGGCACTTCGTGAAGTATATTCTGCTTCATACGTAGACATGCGGATAATCACATTGCCTTCAATATACGTATACAAGGAATTAATGTTTGCTTAACAGTATATGAACACCTATGAAAACATTCATCATAACGACTACATCACTAGAAGTACCGGTACCTTAAATATTTCACTCTTTAGACATGTTTATAAGCAGACAAAATAAGATACATATATAGCACCAAAATATTTTAACAAACTTCCGTTTAGTATTGGATCTTTACATTTGAATGGTTACAAACTAACAATCAAGGATTTTTTTTAAGTAGAAATTTTGAATTGTATAACTATATTGAATTCCTATCTGTATTTTAAATATTATTTTTAATCTGCTTTAAATTTATCACTATAATCTTGTGACTTGTGACAGTACAATCGATGTACTTTGGCGTGACTTCCTATTTCCGAGATTCTAATAGTGAGAGTCGAATCTGAAACAACTGGAATATCGGATGCACTGAGCTATAGAGGGAAGGAATAATGTGGAGTAAAAACTATATTGTAGTGATGTGTGGAGAACACCAGCGTTATTTCTAGTATTTGTGAATGAGCTAGTTTTAGCAGCCTTTGTAGATTGTAATGAATTGTGCCGCTCATAGTAGATTTATTGATGCAGTGTACATCCAGAGTAGCGTGCCATTTTTGGGGTTCTTCGTTCAAGCACGAGATGTCGCTACTAACAAGTGGTTGGGAGGATGGATCGATACCCCCAACACCAAAGCACATCCCGAATGCAGTGCCATTACACATGCGGATCCGAAACCAAAGGCCAGTGCCGTGCTGACGTGGCAGGCCCCACATAACATCGGAAGAGGACAGGTGTACTTCACGTAAGTAGCGCCAGATGTCTTTCTTTTTTCTTTTTTGAAAGTGGACGAACCGATTTTTGTGAGGTTTTTTCAATCTAAAGTCTTGTCTGTCGAGATGGCTCTTAGTTATGTTTAGGCGTTTTTCCTTAAGTATAACAACCTTCAACCGACTAATACCTTGCTAGACCTGAATCATGAAGACATGCACAACCCTCCCCCTCTAGACGTAACCCTCTTTCCACTCTTCAATTGCCACAAGGACATTTTTAATCAAGAGCCTTGCTTGAACATGCAGCTCTAAAAATTTCAATTACCGATTTTATAGCAATGACATCGACATAGTATCTGGAAGGCGCGGTTGAAATCTCTTTCAGTGCCCGGGAGCGGAGCCAAGAATGGTCTCTGACTGTCGAACGCGGAGGTACCACCCGGCGGTTCTCGTAGGCGGAGCCAGAATGTGTGCATGTTGCATGCACACGTGTTCCCTCGCCAGAGTCCGTGTGGCGTCCCCCCTTTCCCATGTATCCCCCATAGCCCCACGGTACCCAATGGGTGCTTAGGCCTTAGGCCTTCGTGGTAGTTGGAGTATAAAATCACAAGCAATTAAACAATTGAAATACCCTAGTTCGTTTTTGCCGCTTGTGCTTACACTATACTAACCTGTCAAACGTTATGCCTCTCGAATTTTGATATCCACAGCGAATCGCCTACAGGCATTGTTAGAGCTCAAGCCATCATGTTTATTATCAATAGCACACAAAAGATGAATGTACGAAAAAGAGATATTCTTAGAAAACCCCGGCTAAGCTGAGAAAACCAAACGCATTTCACTTGTCGGACTTGTACGATTAAAATCTTGGCTTGACCCCGCAACCAAAACCGTTATGCGAGATTCTCCAATGATCAACGGCGTCTTTCCTTGACGCCGTTTTATATTTGTAAAATGTGCACGCTCATCAAAGAGATGCGAAGAGAGGGGAACCACGGCGACATTTGTCATTTGCGCAGGACAAACGTGAATAGATTACAGCGGGGTACCTGACTATTACTTGTCATTTATAAAAATCAGATACCTGCATATTCAAGCGGCCGGCTGACATTTTTATATTTTTTGTGACATAACGTCCCATACGTATACTTTTTCCGAAATATTCCAGAAATTTTACATTGTAATAATCGTAACGTTGCAAAATATTTGTAGAATATTGCTGCAATATTTCTGAAAGAAAGATATATATATATATATACAGGGTGACTTCGAAGTTGAGTCATTTATTTTAACAGTGAGTAGATCTGATCAAAAGAAATGTTTTTTCCTTTACCATTTTTCTGGTAAAATTAATGTAACAAAGTTATAGCCCTTTGGAAGTTTGAGTACCGCCCTGTCTCAATAATAATATGTACTCGTGTTTGGCAACAACGGATATAATCCACCTTATCGGTTCATCGCATGGGAAACAAAAAAGCGAAAGAATTTGGAACGATGTTTTTACAATTATTTCATTCAGTTGTATACAGTCAGTGTCAGTCGGTAGTGAATAGTGGTGTCTGTTGCGTGGCTCAAACGAAATAAGAAATGGCACATGTTTATGCGGATCGGTTTCCCAATCGAGTGCAACCAACCCCTCGTGCCTTTGTTAATGTAGTACAACGGGCTCGTGAATCAGGTGACTTAAGACCTCACAGGGCACCTCACGATCAAATACAGGTCCGCACTGAAATACTTGTTGGGAGGATACTTTATAAAACAAGGTAAAATTTTTTTTTTATTTTTACACACATATTTTGGTTTATCTTCCTTCTACAATCATTATCTGAAAATTAATGACTCAACTTCAAAGTCACCCTGTATACATATAGTATTCATAGTTAATTGCCTTAACTGTTAGGAGAAAATATCTCTTCTTTGGGTAGAAGGCAAAGTTTTGCATAAGTACACTCTTACAACTTGAACTCGACCTTTCGATGGTCTATGCCATCATCGTCTGGAGCTAAAAACCAATTTTTGAAAAATAGCAACAATAAAAAATTAGGAGGCAAAATTATAATTACTTACTAAGTCGGCGAGATTGTTGCTGAAATTGTTCTTAAACGACATTATCCAACACGTGCCGGCCGACTGACACTCTCCAGTAGCATATGAAGTGTGACCTTGCAGTTGTTGAACCGCTATCGAACCGTTTCGTACTTGTGATGTGTGTTGCCTACTATGTAGGGAGTTCTGTAAAATAGTACAAGGGGTGTGTTTTGTTATTGGATGAAGTTCAGCGTTATTTATAAAATTAATAGGTGTTACTTTGGAAGGAGTGTGATTTTGGATGTTATCCTCCCGACGAGCTAGGTAATATGAAGGAACTTTCAAACCTGAGAAAAGATGATTTGGAACAAACTTATTTTAATTTTATTATAGGTAGTGAAAATTTATGTAATTGGAGCGATTATTGAGAGAGGAAGATGTCAGGAGAGATATGATGCTTTTCCAGTTTTTCACAGTTCACCAAGTATGCATGAACGATACTAAGTTGATTGACATCAGCTTTTTTGTTTATGCAATTGTCCGTCATGAAGATATATGACATTTCCAGGAACAGACGTTTTGATAGATGGTTTACTCTGTCGAGCACCACGATATCATTGTATCCCATTTGATGCCCTGTGGTGTTGACATGTGAAGCCAGAGCACATCATACACAATTACTTGGCAGAAGATAGGATTAACACACCGATTGAAAGGTTAGGAGAAAAGATAT